TTTTTTTTTTTTTTTTTAAATAATTTATTTGTATTTTAGGTACATTGATGTCTGTGTGGGGGTGTCAGATCTCCTGGAACAGAAATTACAGACAGTTGTGAGCCGCCATGTGGATGCTGGGAATTGAACCCTGGCCCTCTGGAAGATCAGCCAGTGCTCTTAACCTCTGAGCCATCTCTCCAGCCTTTCTTTCCTTTTCAAGAGATGGGGTCTCTCTGTGTTGTTGAGGGTGGCCTCAAATTCTCAAATCTAAGTGTCCTCCCCATCCATCACCCAAGTAGCTCAGGTTACAGGTAGAAGCCAGTGGACTCAGCTTTCTTCCCTGAGTCTTTGTGTGAGCTGGACTGGATCTTTGCATGTATAGTCTCATGGAGTCACTTGGTAAAGGTCAGTTTGCCCAGGAGGATGGGCTAGGTGTCAGTCAGCAGTTGATGCCTTTCCCTTCTCAGCCCTCCCTGCTTATCTGGAAGATGAGGTGAACTGACTGGTTCTCTCCCTCCCAGTTTCTCCAAGACTCTTGAGGAGCCACCCTGGTCTTCCTCTATTATTAGCTACTAGTGTTCTCTAAGCTACCTGTTCCTCAGCCTTGAACATAAGTGGCTCTTCTGTACCCGGCCCAAGATCTCCTCCGTCCCCAGGTAGTGCCTTTGCACTGGTGTCATGGTAATAATGAACTGAATCCATGAAGTGACTTGGTTGTTCTTGCTGGCCCCATTCATGGGCTCCATAAATTTTTGATTGAAACTTGAGGACCCAGCAGAGTACCAGGCACTGAGGAGGAGGAGGAGGAGAAGCAGCTGTGAACATGTGTGCACCTGTGTGCCCACTGTGCTCATTTTGCAGCATGCTGAGCTGACACCCAGGAAATTCAAAGGGTGGTGTGTGTGAAGAGCCCACACCTGTCCAACTCTTTGACGTCTCATCACCCTCTGAGAGAAGGTGGACGTTGTGGCCCCGCCAATACCCTATTGCCATACATGCCCAGAATCGCACCCTGTGAAGACAGCAGTTCTCCTCTGGGTGCAGTAAACACACAGCTAAGGGTCAAAGAGGCTGTGCTTCAGAGGAGGGGATGTCAGAGAGCCTGCGTACATGAAGACGTGTGTAGAGTCTCCTAATCGCAGGGTATTGCTTAGTGCTATGTGTACATATATGCATATACACTAAGGTATTATGTCTACTGTGCAGACCCATGCTTATACATTCCACGCTTTGCTCATCTGCTGGAATTTGGGGAGAAGAACCATGAGGTATCCATGACAGCCCTGAGGCTTCTGCAGAGAATGAAGAGGGATTGGATGCATACAGGCCGGCGCCCTTCTGGCCTCTGTGGAGCAGGTACAGTTTGGGCCATATGCCCCCAGGATAGCAGCTCAGTCTAGCACTTGGGTAGCAAATCCATGTGTGTGGGAGGGTACTAGCAGTCAAATGTAGGGTCCCATGCATAGTAGGTAAGTGGAACCCTAGCCGTCTGTCTGAGCCTTCAGCAGTCAAGCCCATGAGTTATTGGTTATAGTTCCAGAGTCCACCTTCCATGAGAGCTGTGTCCTGAACCCAGGACCAACCTGACCTTCATGGTTCTTACTCCTTAAGGACTCTGGCACTCGCTCTCCAGTTGACCACTGCAGGTTCTGAGATGAGAGACAGGACTTCAGAGGATGAAATGACAATTGGTGGCCCTAGTTCCACTCTAGGTTGTCTAACATTGCAAATTGTTGCCGCTCTCAGCATGATTAGTGATATGGCCTCTCATCTGAGACACTGAGTCCTTGCTAGCCCAGCAGCACAGTTGTTCTGGTTGCACCTGTAAGGACCTTCAGGGGCTGACTGGCCTAGACCAAGAGTCTAGGAAGTTCAGGAAGAGCTCCAGGCCAGCAGGGGCCTGTTCCTTCTGTAACATCCATCTTCCTACCTCTCTGCAATGTCAGGTACCACTTCTGCACCCAGTAGGGTGATGCTGCCTAAGACTCTGCTTGTATCTGAAACCTGATTTCCACGTTTACACTGCAGATTCCAGGGCCCCGTCTTACTGTGACCATAATTCACACTTGTCAGATGGTATCTTTAGGCTTGTGCCCGAGCCTCTTCCAGCTTTACTACATTCTCAGAATCCTCTGCTCCCATCATAACATGCATCACCTCAGAGCTAGTTTACATGCTTTGAGGGGTTATAAGAAATTCTCGATTTTCTGTTTTCCTTATGTTTAAAAGTAGAATGTAGCACAGCTTCAACCCAAAATAAGAATGGGACTATCATTGCCATAGACTGTGTGCATTATAGGTCTGTTTAGAAAAGCAAACACCCTGTTACCTTGTGGAAGCCACAGCAGACATATCCCACTCAGAGTTGTTCAGCTGGTCACTAGCGAGAGTCATTTCTGTGTGAGTTTCCTGATGATCTTATTTCTTTCCTAGCACTTTTGGTTGCAGCCAGAATGCATGATTTCCGGAGAACTGTCAAAGAAGTCATCAGTGTGGTCAAAGTGTGTGAGTCCACACTACGGAAGAGGTAAGCATTCTAGTTCACAGTGCGATGGCTACTGGGCCCATCTATATATTGGAGCTGCTACTGCCCTGGGCTGCTCTGCCCTTTGGAAGTGCCTGGCTTCCCACCCTAATGTCTCCTGAGATTAGTAGATTGTAATTTATAGAGGCTCCTCATCCCACAGATTGGAAGCAGGCAGAAAAGCTGCTTTGGAACAGCATCAGAGGCCTCTTCATCCCATTTGGTTTGTTCCATTATGGGCTTTGAGAGCCAAGTGACTTCTTGCTAGAGTTAGTTAAACCTCATCATGTCTGTTGTGGGCCACGACTGTGCCCAGCTCATCTGGGTAACCTGGGCAAGATGAACATGCCAAGGAATTGCTGGGAAACCTGCCATGGTTTCAACACTTGCTGACCATTTCTACTGAGGGTATATACTATAGTACCTTCTAGAAGCAAATTAGAAAATCATTTTAGTACTTTGCCTCTAATACCTTTAAAGTTACTTTTTCAAAAATTGTTATTACGTTTATTGATGTGTGTCTGTATGCACGTGCATGTACACATAGGTCACTGTACACAGTGGTGAGGTCAGAGGACGGTGCGGGGGAGGTCACCTCTCTCCTCCCACTGTGTGGGTCCCAGGGATCGAACTCAGGTCATCAGGCTTGGCCGCAAGGACTTCTATATGCTGAGCCAGTCTCACAAAGCCCTCTTTTTTTCCCGTTCCCCCACCCCCTTCTGAGATAGGGTTTGTTTATGTAGTCCTGGCCTGCCTGGAACTCACAGAGATCCTCATGCCTCAGCCTCCCCAGTGCTGGGATTAAAGGCTTGTGCCGCCAAGCCCAGCCTCTTTTTTTTTTTTTTAATTAATACTTTTTAAAAATGTAGTGTGTGTGTGTCGGTATGCATGCGGAGGTCAGGAGACAAACTACCAGAATTGTTTCTCCTTCTACTCTGGGGGTGCCAGGGCTCAAACTCAGGTTGTCAGACTTGGCAGCTAACACCTTATTTACTGATCCACCTTGTTAAGCTTAAATTTTTATTTTACTATTTTATTAAAGAGAGTTGGCCCTGCCCCTGGCCACTGCAGCAGAGGAGCTGTCCCACCCCTCACGGGAGAGCTGGTCCCACACTCAGGAAAGATGGCCCCACCCCTCACCACAGTTAAGGGAGGAGGGCTGGCCCTGATGGCATAGGCATAGAAGAGCTGACTTTGCCCCTCCCCTAAGGGGGGCTGGGCCCAGCAGCCTGGACTGATCATATCAGCTACCAACCAGACCCACATGCAGGGCTTTGAGTGAGCCCACCCCAACATCTACCCCATCTGTGACCTGCCAGAATTCGTGAAGGGACTGGTCCCGTGGAACCATAGTTGCAGGACCTCCATGACTCAGGGCAACAACAGGATATCAGAGAGGAATTTCGGTGAGAGTCCAGTGTTGATAGTGTACCAGAGGCCAGAGGCCTTGAACCAGACCGACAACGCACTGTAATGAACATTTGCAAGAAAAGACAAGGGGACAAAAGGGTACACTGTGTGACACACCACAGCTCCCGGTGTCACGAAGACCAATGAAGAGGTGTTGGAGAGTTGGGAAAGATGGAGGAGTGATGGGGGGGGGTTGTTTGTTTGTTTGTCTTTGTTTGGTTTTAATTAATATTTTTTATTTTCTTTTGAAGTGGATGCTGGGGGGGGGGCGGTAAGGGACAGATATGGAGGGACAGGGAAATGAGTGGGATTGTGATGCATGATGTGAAACTTTCAAAGAATCAATTAAAAAAATTATGTTAAAAAAATAGCCGAGTGGTGGTGGCGCACGCCTTTAATCCCGGCACTCGGGAGGCAGAGGCAGGCAGATCTTTGTGAGTTCGAGGCCAGCCTGGTCTATGGAGCAAGATCCAGAAAGGGTGCAAAGCTGCACAGAGAAACCCTGTCTCGAAAAAAAAAAAAAAAAAAAAAAAAAAAATTTAAAAAATTGTAAGCTGGCCCTTAATCCCAGCACTTAGGAGGCAGAGGCAGGTGTATCTCTGAGTTTGAGGCCAGCCTGGTCTACAGAGGGAGTTCCAGGACAGCCAAGGCTACACAGAAATAAAAACCCTGTCTCAAAAAATAAATAAATAATAAAATTAAATTTTTAAAAAAATGTAGCCAAGCACTTCTGTAACTCCAGCTCTAGGTACCTCAAGGCAGAAAGATCAAGAGTTCAAGTCATCCTCTACATAGCACCATCAGAGCCAGCCTGAGCTACATGAGACTACTTTAAAAAACAAAAAACAAAAAAACCAAGCAAACAAATGTTAGCCAACAGAATGTGATCATAATCACAGTGCTTGTGGAGGTGAGGCCTGAGGATGGAGAGAGTTCAAGGTCAGTCCATCAAGATGGCTTAGCAGGTCAAGGAACTTGCCTCTGCTGCCAAGGCTGACAGCCTAAGTTCTATTATATGGTAGAATGAGAGAAGTGAGCCTACAAGTTGTCCTGCGACCTCTCCTTGTGTGCTGTGGCATGAATGCATGCTTGTATGCATGAGCACCCTCCCTGCATAAATGAACTAAATTTTTTAGTTTAAGAAAATGCAGCAGAGTTGCTGGATAAATTGTGTTGGCTGTCACAGAAGTGCCCTGCTCAGGTTGTTGGGTGGGTAGAGGTAGGTCTCCTACCTTGCAGGGTCTCCCGGGATTCCACCAGGGCCCAGAGGCAGGCACATGCAAGTAGTGAGGTCCGTGGGCTTTTTTCTGCTCTTTTGTATTAGGCTCACAGAATTTGAAGACACTCCAACCAGTCAGCTCACCATTGATGAGTTTATGAAGATTGACCTGGAAGAGGAGTGTGACCCTCCCTCATACACAGCTGGACAGAGGAAGCTGCGCATGAAGCAGGTGGCTCCATACCTCCCATTAGCACTCTAGTTTTCTAGGAACATTTGCTCTAACATCCTCACATCTGTTGAACTCTCCGGGCTGCTCACTTGGTCTTCTTTGGTCCTTGAGAATGAGTCTTAGGGGTGTGCCTTATATGGAACCTCCAAGCACTGTCCACATTGGGGCTCGCGGTGAGCTTTCTGTCCCTGGCCCATTGAGCCCATCCCCACAGCCAAGCTTTGTTTCTGGTTTATTCCTTGTCATCTGAGGCAGCCGCCACTGCAGCCAGACTTCCTCTCATTCTCCCTGAGCTGGTGACTACGCTCACACTAGGACGGTAGTCAGCAGGGGAGGCCAGAGGACCAGAGCTAGGTTGCAGCTGAGTTTTGGGGACTATCGGGGTGTATTCTGCACATGGGACAGACCTGACCCTTCGCAGTCAAGTTGGCTTGGGTGGGATGTTGAGGTTCTAAGTCTTTAGGTATTTAGAAAGGCTGCTCTGTCCAGGGCTGCATGCATGGTTGGAAGGAGAGGGCTAGGCCTACGCTCCATTCTGACCATCCCACAGCCTTGTCAATAGGGAGGCATTGAGCATTTGACTCCTTACCAAAGGCTCCTTTGTCTTTCAGCTGGAACAGGTCCTGTCAAAAAAGCTAGAAGAAGTTGAAGGTAACTAACCAGTTCTCACACACGTGCTTCCTTTTTGGTACAAAATCAACATGCTTACTTTTTGCTTTTAACTTGTTACTTTAGGTGAAATATCCAGTTACCAGGATGCCATTGAAATTGAGCTAGAAAACAGCCGGCCAAAGGCAAAAGGGGCTCTTGCCAACTTGTCAAAGGATGGTGAGTCCTCTCTGCCATTAAAGGCCTTGAAGGCGCTAGGCCAGCACCCTGACCTCCCCCACTCAATGGTCCTTGACCCCACCCCAGTCTGCCTGTCATCCCCTGCACTGGAGCACTACACGCATATCCAGTTATTGCCAGGACCTCTGTCCACTTGTGCACAGCCCTGCATGTGCTGCACTGGGAGCCCTGCTGGCCATTCCAGCTGGCCGCAAGGCCGTGACTGCAGGGATGCCCTTGTGCTGTCTGCCCCTGTTGAGCCACACATCAAGATGTAGGCTTTTCAGAGCTGCTATCACCATTTGTATTGCTAGACAGCTCTCTTCCAGGCTGTGCAGAATGAAAGCGTAAGTGTCGGCTTCCTTCCTTGGCACATGGTCTGGGGAAGCCACTCTGGGCATCCCTCTGGTTGCTCGTCTGTGCTCTCTGCCCATCACACGGGCACTGTGCTAGCATCCTGTGCTATGCCAGGCAAGTGTGAGTGTCCTTTGGGCTCCCCTCAGTGTTTGCAGACACTTGCTTATGTCCCATGTCCACATTAGGATCACCTTACCCACCCCTTCTCAACCCAGTCTGCCTCACTTGTCAGCGTGGGGAAAGCCACTGAGCTTTCTGTCCTTCTGTCCTGCTCTAACTTCCTCTCTGTCTGGGCTTTGCTCCTGTGCCAGCACCACACTGCTGCCCTCTGTGCGGCTGGGGTAAGCAATGTCTTTCCTCCTTTGGTCCACATGGCAGCTTGCAGCTTGACAATAGCATTGACTTTCGTGTGCTGGCTACTCCTGTGCAGTGTGAACTCTTGTCACTCATTAGTTTTCAGTCATTTTGTCATTGGGTTTTCCAAGTACTTGATTCTGTCATCTACACTTCGTCATCTACTATTGTTCTCTACCGGCTCTTAATTTCTTTCTTGAGTCTGCCTGGCCCTGCAGCATCTTGCTGATCTTGGTGACGGCAGTATATCCTCACTCCAGCTCCCATGGACTAGTGCGCATGCACTGAGCAAGTTGTTCCTTATCTGTCATGGCGAGTAAATGCCTGCCCATTGCTGTCAAGAGTTTTCTTATCTCCGTGCAAATGAGAGTTTCAGAGGATGACAGTATCTGTGGAGACCACAGGAGTTCCTGCAATGGGTGAATGTGATCCAGTGTCCTGACAGTCACACTACTGGGTTCTCCCTAATGCCTGCCCTACTCACGCCCATCCAAGGCTTTGGTTCTGTCTGTTTGCAGAGTTGAGTTTGCTACTTTTGATTTGTGTGTGTGTGTGTGTGTGTGTGTGTGTGTGTGTGTGTGTGTGTGTGTGTGTGTGTGATCTTTTCTTAACTTACAGTCTTATTTTCTAGCTGTCCTTTGCATGTACATAGTCTGCTGCCTTCTGTTTACCAGGTCAGTTACTTCTGCCTGGCTTCATCCTTCCTTCTAATTTTACTCCACCTTCCAGGTCACCTGCCTGACTTCTCTGTTCTGAGTCTGCTGACTGTGTACATTTGGGGCACTGAACTTCCTGTGAGAATTGTCATGTTTGCAGTTTCTTAGTCTCAAGATATTTCCCCTTCCACATGTGAGGGAGCTATGGAAATTCTGGGGGTAAGGTGTGTTCTGATATAGTTACTAACTGCTGCTTGAATTGTGCAGTAATCAGGAAATATTGCTGATATGTTCCTCCTTGGTACTTGGGCACGAAGTAGCCTAGACACTGCAGAGAGGCACCTTATGTCATGGGCACAGACGACATGTCCCACTTTCACTGTTAATAGATTGCGAGAACCTGCCACTGGTGGCTCTCCTTCAGAGATCTGGTCTTCCCTTACTTTGATTTCCCCAGTGGCTCCCTCATATACAGAGATGGGCGCTGACTTAGTATGATTCCCAAGGCTTATCTTCTACCACAGAAGCCACCCTCAAGCCTAGAGGCCTGACCCTTGGGCACATGTGAGGCCCAGGTGTCACTAAGTCTCTGCGTGTCCTCCTCCTTCACTTCATGTCTCCCTTGAGAACTTCTCCAACACAGAGACCATGCTTAGTGGCTTGATTCAATCTGGAGCATCCTTTTCCCTTAGAGGTTTGAAGTAAGCTGATCTACTCAATAAGCCTTTTTGATAGAGTTTTCTTGGTTTAGCTGTCTGTTCTAATGTCCTTTCTGTAATTTTTTATTCATTTCTCTTGAACTTTATCTGTTCCTCTTTCACACATCCTGGCTTTGGAGCACAGCAGAAAGCAACTAGCCACAGGCAGGGTATTCTGGGTCAGATTACACAGGCTGGGGGCAGAGGTGTGTCTTGCAGATCAGATATCAGAAGGTATAATGCACAGGCTACAGGCTGTATTTGGTTCTAAAGTGCCTTTGGCTTTTGAGCTTTGCCTGTGGACATGTGTGATGTAAGGTGAGGCCAGCACCATAGTCACTGTGGTTATAGACCTGTCGCTGCCACTGTCTTCCTGTCCTTTGTAATGGCACCCCACCCCTCCCTACTCCAGGTTGCCACTGGCTGCTTTCTGTCACTGAATTAGTGGTCTTTTCTAGACAGAGTGTGTACCCTTGTCTTTCCTCGGCGTTATTTTTATGTTGCCCATTGGTAGCATGGTCCATTTTACTGTGGAGCTGCCGTCCGTCCGTTCGTCCGTCAGTGTGGTAAAGTGCTCCTCAGTCCTGTGTGTGCATTTGAGTTAGTTCCAGAGAAAGCTGTGCAGTCTCTGGTGGGCAGAGTGGAGTTGCTGGTCTGGTGGAGGTGGCAAAGAGTGCGCAGCAGCCCCCACTGCTCTCCCACTGTCCGCATGCATGACCAGCACTCCGTCTTCTCTCCATCCTCTCTGAGGAGGTCACCAGTGTGTGGTGTTCTGAGACTGTAGAAGACGTGCTCATGCTCTGACTTGGTCCAGCTGGCGTGTCTCTCAGGGCTCAGAGACCGTGCCCTGTCTAGCTGTCTGCCCTCGTGTATTCTCTGTGCTGGTCTGGCAGGTCTGTCTTTTGGTCCCTCTTTTATTTGGGTTCTGTGTTGTCTGAGCATAGGTAGGTGCTCTCTACATGTCCTAGACTGTCCTTTCAGACAGGTTCTAAAAAAGCTATGGCTCATCTTTGTCTTGACAGTGTCTTTCACAGAACAAACATAATTCTTTCTTTTTTTAATCATAATTATTTCAAAATCTATTTATCTATGTTTCATGGGTTCTGCTTTAGTGTTGTTGAAGGTATTTTTGCCTAACTCTAGATCACAAACTTTATTGATCTTTCCTGAATGTTCTTACGCTCTCAGATACCACATTTAAGCCAGCTTTTGCACAGAGCATGAGGACTAAACCAGGCCATTCTTTTTTTTTTTTTTTTTTTTGGTTTTTCGAGACAGGGTTTCTCTGTGTAGCTTTGCGCCTTTCCTGGAACTCACTTGGTAGCCCAGGCTGGCCTCGAACTCACAGAGATCCGCCTGGCTCTGCCTCCCGAGTGCTGGGATTAAAGGCGTGCGCCACCACCGCCCGGCTAAACCAGGCCATTCTTGCACGTGGGCAACCAACACCGTTTGCTGGCAGGACTGTGCTTTCTCTGCTGCAGAAAAAGGCATGCTTTTTGGTAGTTTTTGTGTTCTTGGTTATTTTGCAGCTTTGCAAAAAATGTTTCTGTTACAAAAGTGGGCTCTCTCTGGCTTTCTGCCTGGTTGACAGGTGGTGTGCGAATCGTGTGTCCCTAGGCTCCGGTGAGGACGCCACATCCAGCCCGTTTTGTGAGGAGGACACGGAGGATGAGGAGCTGGAGGCTGCTGCCAGCCACATGAACAAGGACTTTTACCGAGAGCTCCTGGGGGATGATGGCGGCTCAGAAGCAGCAGAAGGCCCTGATGGGGGCAGCAGGCCCCTGGCCCTGGAGTCCCTCCTTGGGCCCTTGCCCACAGCAGCCAGCCTGGGCATCTCCGATTCCATCCGAGAGTGTATCTCCTCCCCAAGTGGGGATCCCAGTGAGTGCCCTGGGACGGGGGAGGTTTATAATCTGAAGGTCTGTGCTGTGGATTAGACCAGAAACACCATGGGCTTGGGTGAGGCTCTGCTGGGCCCTTGCACAATAGTCAGTGGTCCTGGGTGCTCTAGTTTCCTTATCTTGCTGTGATAAACAACCTGTCAAAGCAACTGTGGGGACAGCTTTTGCTTACAATTCCAGGTTATAGTCCATCATTTCAGGGAGGTCAAGGCAGGAACTCAAACAACTAATCACATCAGATCCATAGTCAATAGCAAAAAGGAAACAAACATCATTGCTCGCTTGCTCCTATCTAGCTTTCTCCTGTCTTATCTAGTTTAGGACTCCCTGCCTAGGGAATGGTGCCACCACAGTGAGCTGGGTCTTTCTATGTCAATTAACAATCAGGACAGACCTCACAGACATGCCTACAGGCAAACCAGATAAAGATGTTTATTCAATTGAGATTCTCTTCCTGGGGGATTCTGAATTGTGACAAGTTGACATCTAAAAGTAACCATCACACAGGGTAAAGAGCTGGGTATGTGCCAACATGCTGAGATGCCAGCTGGCCTTGTTACCATCGTAGGCTTCCTCTAGTCCAGCTGCTTTGGCTGGCTAGCTTATGGCATGGGCCCTGAGTTTCGGTGGCTACCAGATGACTAAGGAAGGGTCTGGCATAGCCCTGAGTCATGCAGGTGAGGGGACCAGGCCGTTGCTGGAGTGGGAGAGCCTAGGTTAAGGTGCTTCTTTGCTGTCAGTGTCACTGCTGAGCTCGAGCATGGACAGAGGAGACACACTAGCCAACAATCGCCCCTGCCATCCAACAGTGCCAGACCCCTGCCGCTTCTTTCCCTTGGCCTTTAAAACCTTGGGAGGGGGGCTGGAGTAATGACTCTGAGGTTAAGAGTACTGACTTGCCCTTTCAAAGGACTGGGGTTTGATTCCCAGTACCCACGTGGTGGCTCTAGTCCCAGGGGGATCTGCACACATGTGGTGCACAGACATGCGTGTAGGCAAAAAATCCATACACACAAAATAAATTCTAATAAATGAAGAAGGACTGAGGGACACTGGTGGTCTGGAAGGGTAACAGGTCCTGTCCCTGTAATCTGGCTCTGCCCTCCTGATCAGGTGAAGAGTTGACCTTTGCTTAGAGGGTGTGGCCTCTCAAATGGGTGGAACGACTGAGAAATGGGGCCCGTATGAGGGGTACACCTCTCAGTTGAGGAGGCAAAATGCCAATATATAGTGGACAGTTGAATATCTGCTTTGAGGGAGCAGGTAATTCAGAGCAATACAAAGGGACTTGTCAACCCGATCATAGGGAGCCCAGAGCAGAAAGCAAGGGAGGTGGAGCAGACTTGAGAGCCCCCAGGGGTGGTAGGACACCAGTGCTTTAGCCTGGAATAGGAAAGCAGCAGGCCCAGACCAGGCCTTCTAGCAGCTCTGTCTGTACCCAGTCCTTGACCTGAGCTTGAGTTTCTTGTTGAGGACACTGGGCCTCTTTTCTTTCTTGATGGGCAAGTGTTAAGGTGACATTCTCTCAAAGGAGGCTCTTGCAGCCTCTTTGCCCCAGCCCTGAGTCCCAAGCACCAAGCATCCCCATGGTGAGCAGTATCTGCTAGGGCAGCCTCTGTGACACTGATGGGGCTCTTCTCTCTAGAAGACACTTCAGAGGACGGGGAGCTGGACCTCAGTGGCATCGATGACCTTGAGATTGACAGAGTAAGTCCTGACTCCCCTTGTCCATAGTGGTGGTTGGGAGGCTAAAGTGGGGTTGAACTAGCTTCAGGGCCCGTCACTCACCTTTAGCCTCTCTGTGCATTGTGGCTTTCTCAGCTATTCCCTCACAGGTGCCAGGGGTGGGTCTCAAGTTGTAGTGCCTGTGGTCCAAACATGCCCCTGGACTCCCTCCTCCAAGCTCCATTCCAAAGCATCCTTGGTTGTCCTGTGCCCTTCCTCTGAAACCCCAAACTACCCTACCAGGACCTTGTTGGGAAGGCCCTGAGCTCTGCACCTGGCCTTGGCCCTCACAAATATATTGTGCATCTCTAATCCCCCCATACCAGGGGCCCCAGACTATACACTAACACTTGGCTATGTGTGTTAGTGATCTGCCTCACAAGGCTTAGGAACTGTGAATACTGGCTCACGCTGCAGGATAAAGTTGGCGGAGGAGGACAGAGGACTGACGGCTTCTGTGCTGGAGGGGGCTTCCCACATCCTTTCTTTTAGCAATTTAAGCATATAAATAGGAAGCTAGTTGCTGAGACATCTTAGCATACCTCAGAGCTGAACCTCAAAGATCTGAAGCCACTTCATTGTGCTTTCCACAGTACATCCTGAACGAGGCAGAAGCTCGGGTAAAAGCTGAGTTGTGGATGCGGGAGAATGCTGAGTACCTGCGGGAACAGAGGGGTGAGTACCCATCTATGCATCTGCCCAGGACCCAGGATATGCCCCTGGCTGAGGCCAGCTGTTTTGTTCACCTTACAGAGAAAGAAGCAAGAATAGCAAAGGAGAAGGAGCTTGGCATCTATAAGGAGCACAAGGTGGGTGCCTCTTGACAGCCTAACTCAGCCTTAGTGTTGGCTGATAGGAAACCATTTGGGAACACCTCTGCCCTGTGTCCATAGGCGCATGGCTGGGACAGGCAGTGGGAGCCATAGGACCCCCACCCCTGGCTGCAGGTTGTTGTGTTCCTTTACAGATGGTTGTTCCATGCAGCTTTGTAGTGCGAGATCCAGCACAGCTGCTTAGGGAGACCAAATTGAGATGTGGGGCTGGACTCAGAGGTTCTTGGGCTTCAGGCCCTTGTTGAGGACACAAGACACCCTGTCTTGGTGCCTGTATTCTTTGATAGCAGGCAAGCAGTCTTGGTAACTCGGCTCAGCTGCTCCCTCTGGGCCTTCGGTCTCCAAGTGGAAGGAGCTGAACCTTTTAGGAGCCAAGTGAGAAGATGTGATGCTGGCAAAACTCGGTCCAGGGTGGAAGCTCAGAGAATGAGTAGTACCTGCCTCAAAGGAGGGCTAGAGACTTGGGCAGGAAAGGAGGTCCCAAGACTCCATGCCACCCCGCATCATGTTCCGTGCTCTGGGAGGCACTTTCCTTTTCTGTACACAAAGGCTTTGCTAGGAAGGGTTGGTGTGCAGGAACTGAGGTAGCCAGTGCCAGGGCTGGGAGCTGCCAAGGTAGATACAAGTCAAGCCAACTTACTGTGCCTCTCCAGATGGGCCACAGCTGTGGTTCAGGAGTAGACGGTAGGTGTGAAGCTAGCACGTGACAGAAGGAGTTTGTGTGTGTGTGTGTTTCATTCAGCCCAAGAAGTCTTGCAAACGCCGGGAGCCCATATTGGCCAGCACAGCTGGGGAGGCGATCGAGAAGATGCTGGAACAGAAGAAAATCTCCAGCAAGATCAACTACAGTGTGCTGCGGGACCTGAACAGCAAGGGTGGGGGCAGCCCACCCAGGGAGGACTCGCAGCCCCCAGAGCGTGCCAGCACCAAGAAGCTGTCACGGAGGAAAAGAGCCTCTGGCAGGAATAGTGCTGACCCGGGGACAAGCGTGGGCAAGAGGTATCATTGTCCTGCCCCTTGGCCTGGGGGCTGACTGTTGTTTGCAGCCACAGCTTCAGGAGCCACACTGTATGCTGAATGCTGACAAGCCCATCTCCAAATGTGGATGTGTCCTGACCCCCCTCTACACACACACACACACACACACACACACACACACACACACACTTCTGGGTCCCAGAGTCGAGAGGCTTCTGGCGGCAGCAGGCCCTACTCCGTCCCCAGAGAGCAGTTGAGCACTTAGTGCGAACGGGCTCTTCAGCCCCGCCACACCCACACCCTTCTGCACTCCTGAGTGAATAGGAAACCACTCAAGGGCCAGAGCAGGCCAGCCTCAGCATGGTGGGTCCATGTTGCTCTTCAGCTTGACAAGGGGGTATTTGAGGGTGGTCAGGTGCATGTGGGCCTCCTGTGCAATGACTTACTCTAGGGTGGTAGCTTGCAGCTTTCCTGATGAGGTCCCAAGTGAGCTGATTCCCTTGACTCTGGAGATAGGCTGGACACCCAGTGTGGCTACCATCCACCTGCCCTGAGACTCCTGTGAGGTGCTGCCTGCTCAGTGTCCATGTTTGAATTAGCCATAGCTGTCTAAGGGGAAGCCAGGAGTGCGTCCATGTATCTAGTGACATCCTTTGTGCACCTCTGTGGTGTTGCTTCCCTTCTGCTGTTGGTGGGCTGTTGTTTTCTTAAGAACAGAAAGCTGCTGTAGTCTCAGGAGGGTGAGGCAGGGGGATGGTGAATTCAAGGCCAGCCATGGCTACATAGTGAGATCTAGTCCCCCAAATAATACAAAACTAGCTGAAAAGGTAGCTCAGTGGTTAAGAGATACCCGAGTTCAGTTCCCAGCCCACATGTCAGGCAGCTCCTGGAACTCCAGGGGATCTGTGTTCTCTTCTGGCCTCCACAGGTACCCATACAAGCACGATACAGCCTCAGCCTCTCTCTCTCTCTCTCTCTCTCTCTCTCTCTCTCTCAAGCCATTCTCACTGAAAAATTCCAGCTG